TTAGTGTTAAAATTTGTATTAAATAAACTTTTAACTTTAAGTAATTGTAAAATTTATGAATATTAAAAACACAACCAAGAGCCTTAATAATCCATCATGCAACAACATTAATCTTCCTTTCAAAATTAGAGGTTCTCGGTTTAATTCATAGTAATCTTTAGCCAGCAGAGTCATGGTGTGTGATGGATTAGTCCAAAAGAAGAAGAAAAACAATTTCCTTTCCGAGGTAGCGGTCCAAGCCCAGGAGAAATTTTTTGCTATGCGGGCTATCAACCCAGCCCAATATCCGAACCCAAAAATGAGAACAAGAACAGCTACATACCATGGCTAACGCCTTGGGCAAAGGAGCGCGACGAAGAATTCAGAAGCTCTGTAATCCCGACTTTCCCAACTTTCCCATGAATCTGAGTCAGGTAATGTTTCCGATTTCCAAACTTCCACCATTTCTCTCCCCAACAATGTAGGATCCAATGTCTCAATTTCCGATTCGCCAACCTTTTTTCTCTGTAATTTGATGGTAATGTGATGTTTTATCTTCGCTTCTCTGCGCAGCCAGCGGAGGAAAACCATGCCAATCCAGACATGCTTCTTTCATGTCCTCTTCAAGGTGATTTCATGTTATCTCTGATACTTGTTTTGTTTTAAAAATGAATGTATATGTATATGGACACAGGATAACTAGTTTAGCCATTAAAATCTAATATAAATACAGTTAATTCAGTTCTTTCATGCTAAAAAATTAATAATTTTTTAATGAGGGTGTTGAACTGTGTCTGTATACTGTCATTCTAGTGTAACATGTTTCCAAACGGTGGCAGGGTGGAGCTTTGGCTTTTTACATACTTTCAGCACTTATTGTTGATAGCTTTGTGATTATCTTTGTGGTCACTGTTGTAGTGTTGTTCTTGCCACGCTCAATTTTTGGATGGTTAAGAATGTCAGTGGTCGGGTCTTAGTTGGTCTTAGGTGGTGGAGTGAAATTCATGAGCAGGGTGAGAGTGTGTGGAAATTTGAATTCCTTGATCATGAGATTGGTTACACATTCATTTTGAGCTCAATGTTTGAGTACTATTTTTACTTTTACATATATTTTGGATTTGATTATGCCATCTTTTTAATCAATAATGTTGTTTTTTTATTGTTCTGGTCTCTACATTTTGACTTGTTTTCATATTTTGTTGTTAGCTTGTATGAACAAGAAGGATTCTTGGCTATTTTGGTCGACATTATACCTTTATGTAAGTGACTATGGTTGGTTCATTCAGTTATCCTAATAAAATAGAACAGGAATACTTCTGTGATTTAGATTTTTTTTGTACATTACACAGATGATGGATGGCCTTTGGGGTGTGAAATAGAGTAAACCTTTAGGAGGTTTGACTTGGACCATTTCGGGAAAACAATGTAGTTCCTGGAGAAAGGAAAATGGATGCACAGGGCATCAGTTATCTTAACTATTTTGTGGAAGTGTGATACATGATGTTTATTTAGAATAGGTAAACTTTTCTTAGATTCTGATTTACACTGAGTTAATAGTTCATTCCTTGTATCATAATGCAGGCAATTGCTTGGATTTTCCTAGGAATTTTCTCTCTGATTAGGTTTCAGCTCGATTATATCCTTGTTGTGGGAGTTTGTTTGAGCCTCAGCATTGCTAACATCATAGGATTCACCAAATGCCATAAAGGTATGCAGTTCTTCCCCTTTGAGATTTCTGGTAATGTCAATCATTTTAGAGTAAAACAATGCTTAATTATGTAAAGTCTGACAAAATTAACATTTAGTTCTCATGTCAATCAAAATGGTTAGCCTGGTTTGGGTTGTTTGTTAATGGGGTTTTAAGTCCTAAAGTCCTATCTCGCTGTATCAATTGCTGAAGATCACTAAATTTTAGAATTGGATGCCCATTAATTAAGAATAATTTCTCTCTTAGATTTTAATAGTTCTTACATAGGGAGGGAATTTACTTAATACTATTTCTTTTAAAAGCCTAAAGAAAAAACTACTAGCTGTATTATAAGCAGCCTGAGTGATTATTTTTTCTCAATTACTGGATTTGGCTCTCTGTTAAAGTTAGGCTGGGCTGGGACCAGCTATAGATTTTAATTCTTTGGGATAGTTTGATGTGAAATATTCTATATGGCACCTCCTCTAAGCTTCATGATAGATGATTTCATTGATCTTGAAAGTGTTTTCTCTATCGTCAGATGCAAAGAAGCTGATTCAAGCATTTGCCTCCCAGTCTCTGGCTTCCCATTTTTCTTCTAGAATACAATCAGCACTTAGCGTTGCATAGCTGCTAAATCCAAATCTTTGATTCTGACAGCATAACCAATATGCTAAGTAGTAACTGGTATAACCCTTTTACCTTATTTCCTCCGATATACTAACCAACAAAAATATACCATTCTTTAACCCTTTTAATGGTAAATATAAGTCCATAAAGCTAAACATCAGTTTACCTCTCCTTTTTCGTTTTGGTAATTTCCTGTTTGTTGCTTTAAGCATTCCTTGTAGCTGCTAATTTCTGGACCATAATATGAACCCCAATAGAGAAATAAGATTCATAAATTAGATTTATTGTTTCTTTCTTTGTTTCACAAGTTTGATTAGGGCATTTTTTTTCAATGAACGTTGTGTGTCAAAAGGCACATGCAATTAACATTATTATCCTACTTAGTGGAGTTTTACTTTTATGTTTCTGCAACTGTATACCGTACGAAAGTTTGAAGTAGATATTTAGTGCAAGAAGCTTCTATTCTATGTTGACTGTATTAATAAAAAAAAAATATAGCTGTCAACCTAAGAGGTCGACCATAGACCATGTGATGGTGCAATGGTATTTGGCCTAGCTTCTGTGTCATTAAAAAGACAATAAGGATTGCTGGGTGGAGATGCTGCCAGGGGGAGGCAAATTTCTTTTTTGTGGGGCTGGATTCTATGAAATGTATGTCAAATATACCTCTATCTGGCAAATTCATTTAAACCTTCCTTTCTAAAAAGAAACAAATTTATAAATGATTTATTTCAATAAATGGCTTTGCCATTATCATTTTCAAAGTCTTCTTGATTTAACAATTGATTCATGCATTTAAGTTGGTTATCTCTTGCCCAGTTGAAGATGAGATGAATCTGTATAAGTGTGCTTTTCAGGCAGTAGATCTTTCGATTGCTTTTTGCTTTTGGGGTCAAATGTATTGAATGTCAACTGGGAAACTTTTTTCCTAAGGAGATATGTTTGTTTGGGAGGCTCTTTTCATTGTGGGCGTCTGGCTTTGAGTTGCCACTGTAGACCTGCATGTTACTATTTCTGGTTTCTTTTCCAGTTTAGAGCTTTCACAGAAAACCCCCCATACACTTTAGTCCCACATTAGCTTATTTTTAAATATGCTCACTGCAGCAACTGCCCTTATATCATCCTATCTTCATCATCATTGTCATCTATATTATTAGCATTGAAAGGCAAAAACCTAAGAACTCTTCGGAGCATTATCTTGAACTGTTATTTTTGGAATAAGTTGTTCTCTTGATGTGGGAGGGAGATTGATTTGATTAGCATAAGTCTAATGCGGCTTTCTTGAAATCTTCTAGGAGAAATGTCTAATTAAAATGGACTGCAACAGATGGCAAGGTCTGAAACTAGTTAGCACAATTTTGGGTGGCTAAGCAAAGAAATTTTGGTTTAGCTGTTAAGATCTCCTCCCTTTCTGTACTCTTCTTCCTAGACCTCTTTTGTTTTCTAGTTTCTACTTGGCAAATCCTAATCATCTAGCAAGCAAACCCCAAATAGGTTCAAGATTGCCAATGGCAATGTTAATGAATTAGCATCTAATTCTTTGGTATTAAAGACCCCACTATCTAGAAGCTATATCAAGTCCTGATTAATTCAAGGTTCATGTGTGAATCAATATACTATATACATCCCACTTGTTTATTTAAATATGATAATGCTAGTTTAGATGAATCTGACTGTAGATTATCTCAAAGTCAATGATCGAATTTCCTTTTCATTTCTGCCTTGTTCTTTTTCTGCAATAATGCAAATTAAACAAGACTTAATGGGCTAGGTGTGTTACTGTGTAGCCTTATGTAGACGGTTTTTTTTTTTTTGAACAGTAGTAAAATGGTATAGAGACAGGACACACCACATGTAGAAGTATTGAATTATAAATTCATAAAAAAATTTAAAATTTGATAAATGTGACATGTTTGTATGACTTTCAAAATAAACCAAAGGTATCTGTTAGAAATCTGTATTTGGTTCAATTTCAACTTTCGCTATGGAAGAGACCTTCTCAAAAACTGTGCCAAAATAAGTACTGATTGTGAGTAGTAACAATTTCATTGGAAAACAACATAGGGTTTCTTAATCTTTGGTTTTTCTTATGCTTTGACACCCACATTTTACTTGTGGAGATGGAAATGAAAATGGTGGTTAAGACTTAAGAGCTAAGGGAAGCTTGCTGTCCACCTCACCTATTAATCTTCCACACAGAGAAGTTACCACGAGATCATTGTACTTGTAGAATATTGTCTCCCGTCCAGAACAAAATCAGAGTAAACAATTGTGCCAACATTTTTGTCGAATTCTTGTTATATGCTTTGCACGTCACAAGCTTACGCCATTCATCATATAAGATTAAACAAAAAAAAAAAGATATGGTCTCAATACCACCTTATATTACAAATTTATAATCATGAGTTCATAACGTGCAATTATATGTTTATTTATTTATTTATTTAGGAGTTCACTTGTAATATTGTATATATCGATTTATTTAATAACATATAATAATTATAAGTTTATAATTTTATATGACATTATATTATATTATTATTGTAAAATTAAAACAAAAGAAAAGGTAGGAAACCCTTTTTTCCGAAGGATTTCTTTTGATCTTTTGACATTAAAGAGAGCACCAGATCATTTTAAAAAATAATTTTTGAGTGGCTTCTTTGCATATGTTCCAGTCTCTTGATTCGTGGAATTCCATTAAATGTGCAGTCCAATGTTTGACTATTCATCGTTTGTGGAATAAATTTACCCTCCCCTTTTCATTTCAATCTAACTCATGCGTTGTTCATAAGCATCAGAGGTGTGTCCACTGTCCAGTGCAAATTAGTGAAAAATTACAGAATACAGATGTACTACAAAGAATAAGTTTCTCAAAAGCAACACAAGTTTATAATTTAACCAAACGAGGACATACGTGCCCTGGTGGCTGGAATTTTACTGCCCAAAGAGAAATATTGGGATTTTGATACGTGTCAAAAGAAGCATTTATGCCGAGATTTCTTCTTTGTAGTCTCCCATTTTGGGGTTTTGATTAGAACTTCATCCAAAGAATGATTCCTAATGAGACTTTCATTTGACCATAGAGTCTTAAAGTTGAAAAGGGCTTTCGCTTTAGTAAGAGAATAATCATTTAGAAAGCTTCAAAAGATATGTTTGGGCTAATCAAACTTTAGATAGATTAGTGAGGGATTCTATTGTTGATTGAATGGCATTGCTGTTACGGATGAGAATGCCTTAGTTTTCCTTTGAGAATACTTTCTAGAGACTTTCTTCACACAGCAACTTTTTTAAAAGGGTAAATTTTTGGTTTAATTAATTTTAATTAATTTTTATATTTTTAATTAATATTTTATATATTTTTAAAATATTAAAAGCCATAAAAACATAGTTCATCTAGATCATAACATAATACTAACAAATGAAACCTTAATGATTATTCTCTCTGTTCTAGAATAATTTATCTCAAAATAATAACTGCTTGTTTTTTTTTTATATATATATATGAATAACTGCTTGTTTTTTTGTAAGAAAGACAAATATTTTTTTCTTTAATCATATCATTGTCTTTTAATTTTAATTATCTATTTTATCATAAAAAAGTCTTTATTTTTATTTTTTTAAGGATAAAATAGATAAAATAGAAATTAATTATCTCTAAATTCTTATAATCTAAAGATAAAATTTTAAAACATCTATAATTTTGAAACATAGAGGGTAAAAATTTTAAAATGGGCAGGAATAAATTTTAAAAGAAAAGAGCAGTAACATGTTATATATTTTTGATTCATAGAAGTAAAGAATACAACTACCCCCGTAAGCTCGTGTGTTGATGTAGTGGACTTCAATTTTTATGTCATGAGATGTTGAATTGCACCAACCAAAATCTCGCAAAATGGGTTCATAACAGCACTTGAATTTTGGAGACGACAATACCAAAAAAATCTAACCTGGCAATTTGAATTTGTGCCAAAAAAAAAATAAAAACAAAAAAGAATGTACTGCCAATGAAAATATGCCAAAGTTGACAATTTCCATAAAATTTGATCAATGTATTACTAACTACTTGCTTGGAGGGCATCTGGCTTTGGGTCCTACAAGACTTTTGTACATTTCCACATCAACGCCAAGTTGGAAAAAAATGCCATGCAATCAACAAATTAACCAAAAAAAAAAAAAAAAAGGTGACAAGTGTGATGATGCTATTAATTTAATTTTATAAGAATTCTTAAACTTGCTTCTACTGAAAAATTTTGGGAGTGATTTTGCACCATCGGCCTTAGAGGTTACAAGATTATAGCTTCTTGCACCGAAAGGAAAAAAAAAAAAAAAAAAAGTGTATTCAAACTTCTTTAACTTTAATAAAATAAAAATAAAAGATCTTTTCTAAAGTTGAATCACGTGAACAAAACAACCTTTCTTCTCCATTTCAGTTTATTTTCCATTGATCACTGAAACATGAGTTAACGATAGTTTCAAACTTGACTTCCATTGTAGAGACTAATCAATTTCACCTAACAAGAAAAGAAAGGGAAGTTTTCTTTCTTAATGCAAACCCATTTGTCAGAGAAAAACAAAAAATCAAAATTTTGCAATTAAGTTTCAAACATGTGATGCTCAATCCCATCAACAAACCACAGGAAAATAAAAAAAAAAAAAGAAAAAAAAATGGTTTCTCTGCTTCTCGCCTTGGACCCAAGGAATGACCAATGGCATTGCCTCTTATTGCTCTATAGACTGCAAAAAGTAAAAAAAATTAATAATTTCGGTACGATTTCCCCGTTGAAATCATGCCAAATTCCTCCAAACACAATAAAAATACTGGTTCCGTATGTAATGCGATTGGAAAAACAAGATTAATACTCTAAAATAAAATATTACTTCCACCTAGACTCTTATTTGTCTTCGGAGTTCATAATCATGTTCAACTTGGTCTATCATTCTGCGTGTGAGAGAAATGGAAAAGTCCATAGGTCAAACCTTAAATTGAAGAATTCACAAATGATATCTTATTATATGTCCCGTATGAAAATGTTGAAATTTGAGTTAAACTTTAAAAGTTGTACTCGTCTTTTAAAAGACTAAAAGCAAAGCACAAACCAACTTTTTATGGTAGAGTCTTGCTATTAAGTGTGAAATTGATAATTTTTATTAAATTGTAAAGAATTTTTTATTTTGTTGTCTAAAGTATATTGTATTGTAAAATAATTTTCAACATCAAAGAACTTACCTTTAATCAATTATTTAAATTGTATAATCTAGTATAATTTGGACTTTATAACATTTTTTGAATTGTGAGATGCTTTATAATTATTTTATGAGAAAATGAAAAATAAGATATTTTGGCACTTCAAATGTCATGATTTTTTGAAGATTATTTAAATACTCTTAATAAGTTATTTTTTTATATTAATTCATTCATGATACTTTAATCTTTTCATTATTAATCATAGGAATTTTCTAACATTTGAGTACATGTTAAGTTTCATTAAATACAGTATTTTCAATTAATTCTACATAATTTTTAAATTATATTCATTTATGAGAAAATGAAAAAAAAAGATATTTTGGCACTTCAAATGTCATGATTTTTTGAAGATTATTTAAATACTCTTAATAAATTATTTTTTTATATTAATTCATTCATGATACTTTAATCTTTTCATTATTAATCATAGGAATTTTCTAACATTTGAGTATATGTTAAGTTTCATTAAATACAGTATTTTCAATTAATTCTACATAA